ACTCGAAGAGAAATTGAGGCTCGGATTGCTTCTGATTTTCCTAGATGGTTTCAAACATATGTAAGTTTTTAAAATATTTTGTAAATCAATCATAAGAATAATTTATGTTCTCACATTGATCTATTCATTCATACTATGTTTATCATTCGTTTAGGTTCACGATAGGAACAATATGGTTCAAAGTCAATTTTTACATGACTTAGCATGGGGTCCACGAAAAAAGGTTTTTATATGGCCTATTTATTTTGTCAATGGTTTCAAGTTTCATACGGAAGAATGGAGCATTGGAAAGAAAACTGTCAATTGTGGAGTTTGTGTTAAAGGGGATGATATTGAAAATGAAGAAAACTATTATTATGGTATCATTAAAGAGATTATGCAACTTGAATACATAGGAGAGCCAACAAAAGAATTAGTTGTATTCAATTGCCAATGGTTTGATTCTAAAAGGAATCGTGGTGTACGAGTTCACAAGGAATATGGTATAGTGGAGGTTCATCATCATAGAAGGTATTTGAATTATGATCCTTTCATACTTGCATCAAATGCAATTCAAGTATATTATATGCCTTATCCTGAAAAGGTTAAGGAAAAGGTAGATTGGTGGGTTGTAATTAAAACCAAACCAAGAAGTATGGTTGATGATCAATATACACTAGAGGTTGCCTATCAACATGGTCTTTCTAATACTCAACTTGTGTCAAATGATGAAGTACTTGATCAATTAAGAGACGATGAAGGTGAACATGAAGAGCTAGTAGAGAATGAATTACTTGATGGAAATGGACACAATGAATATAATGTGGAAGATGCAGAAATCAATGAAAAAGAGTATGATGAGGAAGGTGAATTTGATGATGATTACAACTCTGATGATGATGATCAGAATGCTGATGAGCCATATAATTTTGATGAAGAAAGTGATGTTAATGTCGATGATGATGATGATTATAATGATAATGATGATGATGATGAATGATTTTTGTATTTTCATTTCGGTGAGTATTTAATAATTATAAGTACATTTAATAATGTTCCTATCAATTATTATTTTTTTGTTTCAAACATTTCAATAAATATGTTATTATTTAATTCATTACTATTACTTATTAAATATGTTTTTTGCTTACACATTTTTGTTCTTTTTTGTTATATGTCTAGATGTCAGACAAAAGAAAAACCAAGCTTATTTTAAAAAGTCGTTCGATGAAGCATCAATTCAATCAATTACCAAGAAATAACATGGTTGGACCACAAGTTGCACACCCATTAGTTGGAACTATTGCAGAACATGTTAGTTCTACCCCTTCAGTACAAAATAAGTCTATAGAAGCCCCTTCTATTGGACCACACATTGGTCATACTCCACCACTTGGAGGAAGTTCTAAATCTCTTCCATTAACTTCTCCACCATTAGGACCACAATCAGCACATGAGACACCTTCCCCACAAAGTCTTCAAGCATCTAACCCTCAAACTCAAGGCACATTTGTTTCTCATGATGATCACAATGTATCAGATGTTCAGAGCACTTGTGAGAAACCCATTTTAACACTTGATGGATATGGGTAAATCACTTAAATTTTAATAATGTTATATTTTGTTCATATTCTATGTACAACTTGTACTTTATGACTTTATTTTTGTTGTAGATTTTTGCCTTCATACTTTGCAGCTACTGCCATTGGTGATATTTTCAAAAGTCATTACACTGATGCATGGCCATCATGGAAAAAGGTACCTCAAGATATTCGAGACATGTGGTTTAGTGAGTTCATGGTATGTATTTATATTAGTTCTTAACTTTAAAATAAGTTCCAAATATTGAATGTACTATAACATTTATTTGTTTTGTTTGGGTACAGAGAAAATATACTATTTTCCCACCTGATCATAGGTTGGCTAGAAGGAACTTTGAATGTGAGGTGCCAACATATTGAAAAGTTCACTAAACAAGGCACGCATGTTAATGAAGAAGCCAAATTGGCTTGCAGAAGATGTATGGGATATCTTATGCCAACATTGGGGATCAAAACAATTCAAAGTAAAAAGTTTGATTGCAAAAGCAAATCGAGCTTCTGATTGTGATGGATTTGGAATTTCACTCCATACTGGTGGCTCCATTAGCACTTCTCAACATAGAGAACATTTGGTAAAGTTTGCTTTATACTCCTTTATGCATGTATTGGTCCTATATGTTGTACTTTTGAACCTATAATGTATATGTGAATTATGGAACCCTGGACTACATTTAGGTGTGGAAAGAATGTACACTAGTTAGTTCAAATTTGATTGCATGGTGTTATTTATGATGGAAGAGAAAAATAGTTATTACATTACCTATTGTCATGACTTGACAAACTTCTTTTATTTTATGGTGGATATTGCACTTCTAAGTTTGTGTTTTTAACCATATTTTAGATAAAGTTGAATGGAAAACCCCCTACCCCATCAGAGTTATTTCGCAAAACACACAAACGAAAGGATAACACATGGGTGGATCAAAGATCAGCACATGTGGATGTAAGTTCCTTGTTTTTCTTCTTATGTTAATTTCTTAAACAATTGTATCCTTTTTTATGTTTTTATCCAATTCACTACTATTCTATTTTAATGTTTATAGGCCGAGTTTAGTCGTGCATGGGAAGAAGCCTCCCAATCAGGATCTATTACAGGAGACTCTTCGCCTAATGAATTACAGGTTTGGTGTAAAGTTGCTGGAATAAACAAAGGCAAAATATATGGGCTTGGATCTGAGTCAAGCAAAGCAATTGGGAGAAATCTTTGTCACGACTCTACTTCATCATCTGTCCAGCTTATGAGAGAGGAGATTGAACAATTAAAACACAAGTTACAGGAAGTTGAGACCGAAAGGGATGATCTCCGTGAAAGAATGTTAACTAATGAGAGACAAATTCAGAAAAATGATAAAATGTTGCTTCTCTTGATGGAGAAGATGGATGTTCAACCTCCTGAATTGTGAACTAATTCTATTTTGTATATTGTATTTGTTTTGTTAGTTTCTGACATTTCTAGAATTATAACTCTTATTTTAGTTTATTCTACTTACTTTTAGATTAAATTTTCAATATGTAAGAAAGTATTTAATTCATGAATGATGAATTTATTTAGAACAAAATTTGTGGTATCATTTTCATGGTTATCTTAGATAGTGAAATTTTCATATATTTAATATAATATATAATGTATTTCATATTCCTTAATCGGGTTTATCATTATTTTAAAAATAATATAAAAAAATAAAATAAAATTAGTGACCGATATAGTGACCAATTTGGTCATATATATTCATTCGATTCTCGAATCTGTCACTAAATCGGTGACTAAATCGGTCACTAAATCGGTCATTGAATCGAGTCATTGAATCGGTCATTGAATCGGTCATTGAATCGGTCATCTGAATCGGTCACGAGATCGGTCACTGATTCGGTCATCGAATCGGTCACCGATTCGGTCATCGAATCGATCATCGAATCGGTCATCGATTCGAGCCATCGAATCGATCATCGAATCGGTCATCGATTCGGTCATCGAATCGGTCACTAAGATCGATGACCAAGGAAATAGTGACCGATTGTAGTTGGTCACTATTTCGGTCACTATTTTAATTAGTGACCGATTTTAGTTATTTAGTGACCGAATTTTCGGTCACTATTTATTGTTTTTCTTGTAGTGTTTGTTTGAGTTATTTGCTGATCTTGACAAGATCTTCGAAATGGGATGAGGAGCCAGCCATGGAGGGAGTCAGTACAATGAAAACACCAAATGAAAGGATATAGACAGAGAGAATGAGCAAAAGTTGCACAAAAGGAGAGGTACAGAAATATCAGAGAGAAAAAGAATTTACTTGGCAAAAATCTGTTTGTTTTTTCATTAACAAGGGTGTTATATAACGTACATTGGCTAACCGCCTTACAAGGAGGAAGAAAACAAAAAAAGGAAATAAAAATAAGATTCCTTTGTCAATCATTCTTTTATGACGACATTCCCTTTCTTGCATAAGGTGGGACACATCACAACAAAGTCTGCAAGGCATTGTGGTTGTCTATTATTCCTCTGTGGCCTCTCCTTATGCATTATTGTGCTATCAACTAGATCATGCATTATCAATCCCTTTGGTATCAGTAAGAAGGATTGGCCTGCAATCCTTACACTTTCTATGCAAGAATATCTTTACCTCATGGAAAAAAATATATTATTATTCATAAAGAAAATGAAAATCGTAGTCAATTGCTGATGACGATGATGGACATGAATAGTGAGAATGACGGTTACACCACACGAGAGAAATATTTTGGAGCAATATTTAAGACGAAGACTGAAGAGAGCAAATGAAAAGGACCTCCCAACCCCCCAATGTATTATCAAGCTCTATAAACAAGTAAAACGTAAGATTGATGAAAAATGGAGAATGAGGGTGTAGTTTCCATTTCCCTGTCAAAGCAAGCACCCCACCTCCACTTCCCAACCAAAAGACAAGCAAGCAGTGTCTACTTTTCTTTTCTCAGCTTTCTCTTTTCCTTAAAGTACATCTCTCTCTCTCCTTGTGGTGTCTGCCCCAGAAAATCCAGGTTGTTGGAGGGTGTGTTTTTGAGTATTCTTCTTCTCATGTAATTCCACTTGCTCCATACGCACTCCACACAGGATTCCCTTACTATGAACATACTTTTATATGGTAAAGGCTCCCTGAAATGCGTGCCAAGTACTATTCCAATGTGATTCACTTCCTACATGCATGGTTCTTCTTGGAGACATCCACATGTTCCTCTGAGGGTGTCATGAAATTAGTCACCTTCTTCCTATTGAGAATTTGGTATGTTAGAACCTACCATTTCAACTCTTAACACACAAGTTTTATAAAACGGTTAAAGGCTGGAATTTCAGCCCCAACGTTAAGGTTTTTGGACTCCCCACGTTCACATTTGCCACCTTTTTCTGCAATTTAAAACCTTGAGCAGAACATACAAGACAGGATCATCATGCCATTTGGTTTAGTCTCAGCATGGAACAAGCGTCGAAGAAGCATGTCTCAAGATCATTCAGACCCTTGTATTTCTTCTTCCTTTTTTAATTTTTGTATGTTGTCAGCTGCGATGAGTATATCTTATTGCAGCATCAACTATTAACAAATTACACATTCACTCCCTTCACAGGGATTTATAAACCTGCAGAGTTTTGGCAGCTTGAAGATCAAACACCACAACCTACAAAAAGGAGGCATAGATCATCTGTTTTCACATTCAAGGAGATGGAAGAGGCAACATGTTCATTCAGTGATGGTAATCTGCTTGGAAAAGGAGGATTTGGCAGGGTCTACAAGGGTAATTTGAAGTCAGGAGAGGTAATGAGTTTTTTATTCATGTTATTTATAACACAAGAAGTCATCATATGTAATTCTCAAAATTTTGTGTAGCATGAATTGTAGTTTCTGTAAAAAAGACAGCATGCTCCTTACAATTATTGACAATACCATCATTGAGTTTCAATAGCACATAGATTGAGTCTTAGCAAAGTAAAAATGACTTGATATTTGTGATTTAGCCACAAATAAATACATACAAATCACTAATGCAATTTCCTCTAAAGGTTGTAGCAATCAAGAAAATGGAACTGCCGGCAATTAAAGCAGCAGAGGGGGAGCGCGAATTCCGTGTAGAGGTTGACATATTAAGCAGACTTGACCACCCAAATCTTGTTTCTTTGATAGGATACTGTGCTGATGGGAAGCATAGGTTCCTAGTTTACGAATATATGCATAATGGGAACCTGCAAGATTATTTGAATGGTTAGTCATGTACTCCAAATGCACATTTTGTGGAAATTTCTTACCTGCAAATTTAAATCAATGTCTAATTTTAGGGATGGGAGAAAGAAAAATGGATTGGCCTCTGAGACTCAAAGTGGCACTTGGAGCTGCAAAAGGGCTTGCTTATCTCCATTCAAGTTCTTGTCTAGGAATTCCTATTGTTCACAGAGATTTCAAATCCACCAATGTTCTTTTAGATGCCAATTTTGAAGCAAAGGTATGAATAACCTCCCAGCGATGACTTGTTACATGTTTTACATATAGCATAATACACATGTACTAAAAATGAACATTCATCTTGTAGATATCTGATTTTGGGCTTGCCAAACTAATGCCAGAAGGACAGGAGACACATGTGACTGCCAGAGTACTCGGTACCTTTGGTTATTTTGACCCTGAGTATACATCGGTATGTATCCATGCCACAAGGATCAATTATTTTACAATTACATTTTCTCCATATGGTGTAATTAACTTCATAGATTTAAACATCTATTTCAGAATACCATAATTCATTTCAAGCCCGATGTTTTCAATTCATAAGTGATACAGTCATGCAACACCTGCTTACTGCTAGAATCTATTTGATTAATTAGTACGCACAGCAAGGTTTAGGGTTTATACCCACTCAAACTAAGCCTGAAACTAATGCAGAAGAAATAAGCTTAAAACATGATGTTTTTTCTCTATAGAAGCGTAAGGCTTAATTTTTTTATCCATGGCAAAGATTCTGTGAATACTTTTCTTTATATTCACGAGTCAACAATTCGGGTATAAATCACTATAAGGTTCAGTATCTGGTTTAGATGGCTTTAAAACCAAGTTGTTTCCTTTTTCCACTGCACACATGCAACCGAAGTACCAAACAGGGATACACCCATTAAACCTTTTAGACAGATAATAAATGCATGAAAATGAGTCAGTAATGTTTGAATAAAACTAACACATTGTACATGAAAAAGTAGTAATTAATCATAGATGTTGTATACAAAATGAAAGTGATGTGTTTGTTATGGTTTTGATGTGAATAGACCGGAAAACTTACACTACAGAGTGATGTCTATGCTTTTGGAGTTGTTCTTCTGGAGCTTCTCACTGGACGTCCAGCTGTAGATCTAAACCAGGGCCCAAATGATCAAAATCTTGTACTACAGGTACCTTCCATATTGGATAATGAAACAAATATCCTTAAAAACTCTCCAACGTTATAATTTAATTTAAGAATTCACATTATTTTTACTCTGAACATTATAACTCATTTAAATGCATAATCAATTACATACATGAACTAACCCTTTACAAATAAAAAACAGAACCTATATTATATTTATGAAATAGCGAAGGAAATGCTATCTATTTCTAAAATATAGGAGGAAATGCTAACAATTTTAATATTTAAGGTTGAAAATCAATTATGTTTATAGGTGAGGCACTTACTGAATGAGAGGAAGAAGCTTCGAAAGGTGATAGATGCAGAGATGGCTCGAAATTCTTACACAATTGAGTCTGTATTCATGTTTGCCAATCTGGCTTCACGATGTGTCCGTTCTCAGAGTAACGAGAGACCTTCAATGGTAGATTGTCTCAAAGAAATCCAAATGATTATACATATCAATTCAAAGGGCTTGGGATTGGTTATGCATAGCTTGAGAATGGTCTAATCAAATCATAAGTTGTTCAATTCATGACCATTACTGATTAAGTATTTGTCACGATTCTTAATAATAATGCCTTTCAGTGATTTGAATGATCGTACAAGAGACGAGGAAATCAATCCATGGCGGACAACGTTAACATGAACAAACCACTTGGCTGGAAAATCTCCTAACCTTGTTGTTTTGTGTTTGGAATGTTTGTTTCAAAGGACACTCTCTTCAAATGTGTAAATTGATACATGAACCCTAGATTAACATCTAATATATATCTCAGTGTATGTTGCCATGATGAAGAAGGAAACACGTTATTTTTCAATGTTTTCTTAATTTTTTTTTCTTGGGTATAATAATATTATAATATTTTTAAAATTAATCCGTATTTAAATTGATATTTTAATAAAAAATCAGTATTTTTATATCTAACATCTATTTGTCATAAGAATTATTCTTTTATGACTAAAATAACACACTTATTATATGTTAGTTTTTTCAAAGTATTGATTTTAATACGGATTAATTTTAATAAAATCTAGTGTTTCTATATTTAATATTTAATAAAGATAATAATTTGACCATTAAAGTTAGTCGATTACCGTTAGAATCACAATAATATATTTATTAAATGTTGAATATGAAAAATATTAAAAATAATTAAAGTGCCAATTTCAATAGAGTGAAAAGGGGGAAATAATAGATGTTTTAGAAAATTACATTTTTTTAGGAAATTTATTTTGTTTGCATATTTAAAAGAAAAAAAAGTCTGTGTTTCTACTTAGTAAACGGATTTAAAAAAAAATTATATTTGAAGTCTAATTTAATATAGCTAAAAGCTATAGCTGTTAGTAAGGGTTCACACCACGATACTTAAACCCTCGGTCCCACCACGATTCCGCCACTCTGATTCCCCCGCTCTTCGGGAATCTCGTGGGGACTTACCATCCGCTGCCCCAATTCCGTCCTCGGCAGGAATCGAGTGCGCGTCCTCGCTCTGATACCAAAGGAGGGTTTAAGTATCGTGGTGTGAACCCTTACTAACAGCTATAGCTTTTAGCTAAGTGGCTAACGCTGCGCGCTCATCCTTTGGTATCAGAGCGAGGACGCGCACTCGATTCCTGCCGAGGACGGAATTGGGGCAGCGGGTGGTAAGTCCCCACGATATTCCCGAAGAGCGGGGGAATCAGAGTCGCGGAATCGTGGTGGGACCGAGGGTTTAAGTATCGTGGTGTGAACCCTTACTAACAGCTATAGCTTTTAGCTAAGTGGCTAACGCTGCGCGCTCATCTTTGGTAGCTGTTGAACAAATCACAAAATCCCCTCCTGTGGGATACAAAAAGCCTACTTCAGAAGTAGACAACACACACAGAGTCCTAATTGGACAAAACAACACGATAATAGCACTTCTGGAAGAAGTGTCTAGAAAATTAAATTGTTTAATAGATTTAAACAAAAACACAAACAAATCTAATGAGATAGATGATCTTATTAGCCAGGTTTCTAAATTATCTTTAGGAACCAACACATACACTAAGACAATTTCTAAAAATACACAGAAATTTGTTAAAGTGTCTACAAATGGTCTTAAAAATCAGACCAACAAAGAAGAAGTTTCTTCTTCTACAAATAAAATTGTGAGTTAATTATGTTTACACGACCTATTAACTCCACACAAACACAATTAGAAACTGTTGATATGAATAATACAACAGATTCTAATCAAACACATAGGTTTCCTGGAGTCCCTAGAAGATTGAGGGAACATCAAACCAGGAGTCAAAACCTGATACAACACCCAGGAATCTTGGATAGATTCCTAAATAGGCAAAGATCTACTAATGTCGACGTTTGGAAGACTTAGTAGATATACAACAAAATACCGAGATAGGATCAAATACAAGGATAGATTCCTTGAATCCTAGGCAGTTATACAATATCGGATGGTTAAGTTCGGAAAGAACTAGCCTTTACCGATATAGAAGAATAGAAGATTTTCATCTTCCGGACAACACTTATGAGATAATTCCTCCGATATCTCAACAAACTGGTAGGCAACTACTAGGCCAACAAGGAAGATATGTCCATATGGGATTGATTACCATTGGAGTTAGATCCTTGGCTAGGCATATGATTGGAGCTAGAGCTTTGATAGTTTTACATGACTCTAGATTCCAAAACAATGATTCACAAAGTGTGATAGGTATTTTAGAGGTAGATTTAAATCAACCTTTTTCATTGATATACCTAGCACCAAACTTTACAATTACACTTCCAGATTTTGTTAACCACATAAGTCTAGAAGTACAAACAAGTAGGATTTGGACCAAATTGGTTAGGCGAAAATCTACACTTAGATATCACCTTTATTGGAAGAATTAGTAACCATATTTCTTCCATGTATAGGATTGATACAAGACCATTAGAGGAAGCTATTAGCTCTCATGGTACACAATTTTTGCCGACTCAAGCCTTCACAAGGAGAAATGAAGGACATTTGTGGCAAACACATTTACCTAGGGAAGAAGATACTCCCGTCATCTGCCCCTTCATCTCGCTATTTTGCATAACGGATCTAGAGGACTTAGTCTAAGTTTCACGGACTATAGAAATATTCCACGACTAGACCTAGAACAAGATAGGCCGGTGGAAAATAGGCATAGCACTTCTGCTATTCCCGACAATGAAAACATTTCTATGATGAATATTATAGAATGTGAAGAAGATGAAGATGATGACATGACCGATGAGGAATGGAATCATCATCGAGCTATCATAGCCATGTTTAGACAAGGAACGTCAAATTCTTTGTCCCATACAAATAAAGATGTCCAAATTAATGAAGAAGATGATGTCATTAATAAGATGGACGACATTATAAATGCATTCTTAGATGAATATTTTTCTCGATAAAGAAAATGATACATTAGATAATGTATCTAAAGTCTCGAACCCTTACCCATATTAGGGTTAGTAGACACAAATGATAAAGATACACTGGATAATGTATCTTTAATCGAAGAACCATTGTCTAGGTTAGACAATACAAATAGTGATACATTAGATAATGTATCCATAATTTCAGAACCTTATCGACATTAGGGTTAGTAAATACAAATGAGGGATCAAATAGTTATCAACCTCACAGCTATCAGTTACTACCTGATGGCATACACAGCTACTCTGTTGGTTTTCCACCTAGAGTATCACCACAAAATGTTGTCTTTAGCGACAACCAATACACAACATTAGGCAAAAGGCTTCCGATAGAGCTAAATTTCCAAATGCCTAATCTTCTGTTAAACATAGGAGGAATAGATCCTCAACTATTGCCAACATACATTGAGCAATGGACTGCAGCTGTAATCCGTGATTATGGCATACATCATGAGAAAGATGTTCACTCTTCTCAAGAAATGATTGCTAAAGTTGAAACCTATTTAGGTGATATAGCTAGAGCTTGCTGGGAATCTTTTAAGAAAAATTACCCAGCCGACTTAAATATGTTTGTGATCGAACCAGGTCCTAACATATACAATTTTTGTTCTTTGTTACAAAAATTGCTTACTTCCCAGTCTGCTAATGATGGGAACACACTCAGACAACAAATTTATCTGGGTCATTTAGAAAGACTTTCCATAACATACTTTGGAAAGATAAAAGAATTTTTACAAGATTACCTCATGTATGCATCCATAGCTGGATGTTTCCATGATTTAAGCATTGGAGAAAAGATGTTTCTCAAACTACCAGGAAAACTTGGCCAAAAGATCCGAGAGTCCTGGAAAAATGAAGAGGTTACCCCCATGTTGAACAACCTCTCTATACGTATACAACACATCATGAAAGTGATGGAAGATACGTGTACACATATTGCTATACAAAAGCAATTAAAAAATTTTGATGCTGGAATTTGCAAACAAATTTATACTCCTCAGCATTATAATCAAAACAAGCCTTACAGAAGGCCTATACCTAGAAGTAAACCTAGGTATAATAAAAACTACAATCAGAATTCTTATTCTAAAAGACAAAAACCCACAACTTCTAGAAAGACTTACACGATTAGGTCTTCAAATTCTAGAAAACCAACTCTAAATCCTGATAGACACGTCAGAAAATTTAGAGAAAACAAAACATACAAGCAAGCTTTGAAATGTTTTGCTTGTAATCAACCGGGACACTTCTCTAGAGATTGTCCTAACATTACAAACCTTTACACTAAAGAGGCAGAATTGATAAAATCCTGCCACATGAACCTTCTTCCAATAGATGAAGATGTTTCTACTGACTCTGAAATACTATCAGTGATTAGTATTACAGAGTATAATGATGAAATCAATTTAGATAAAAGCCATAAAGATTATGGCCTAATAAATGATTTCACAAATAATGAATTCATTCACCTTTATCCAAATGAAAATGATTTTCAACTGGATAATAAATATAATGAATTAGGAAATATATTAGATGATTATGGATATTGTCTAATGAACACTACAGTTTCTTCTTTTAAGGAAACTAACAAAAGGGTATTGCAAAGTTCCTTCAGTTACACAGGTACCACTATGGCAAACCCAATCAACAAAGGCAAGTTACCAGCCTCAACAACTGAAGAGTTTGATACTCTAAAGTTTGGAACACAGCATCTTCCGGTTTTACCAGAAGGTCACCCTCAACAATTCAAATGTCTGAGGAACTGTCCCGTTTCAAGGGAACAAAAGGTATTACTTGATGCTCTTCATCGAGCTTGTAATACAACAACAAAATTTTATGCTATTAATGCATTAAATTATTACTTTGCAAAAATGTTGCCCGCTGTTTTTAAAAAACCCAAGAAAGAGGCCTACTGCCTTTTTACTGGAGATAAGCGTGGCGTCTACCTATCATATCCCTCTCTGTTAAAGGCGATAGGTAATGACAAACACAGCAAATTTCAAGGATTTGATAACCTTGAAGAAGCAGTACAAGCGATGGTCAGCTATGTTGGAGGTGACAACAGCCTGTTGGACCAT